TATCGGGAGGATCAGCTGCGGTCGAGTTCAACGTTGTGTGGTCCTCGAGCGATTCTTCCAGAAAACACACTCTGGATAACATTGGTGGAGTGGCCGTGAAGGTTAAGAAATTTTTTAGTGATAGGTGTCGTAATTTGTGGTTTTTTCAGGTTTATAAGTGCGAAGCTCTTGCATCGAACTGTGGCCGATGTCTTACGCTGAATGCTGAAAAGTATGAATGTGGCTGGTGTGTTATAGACAACAGATGTGTCAGACCAATGGCATGCTTGGCAAGATGCTTGGCAAGGTACGTTTAGTCAGTGGTCCACTAGTCTCATTACACATGGTCACCCCACCTGATTGTACTTTCTCGCTAGTAAAAGCGACAATACCACAGGTGAACGCAGCAGCAGTAGACCTAACCTTCGTTTTTCCAACGACGGGTCCCTTTTTAAGACTGAAGTCTTCATTAGCTGGATTTGCACACAGCTGCGTGCTATTCAGCCAATCTTGTGGTGACCTTGCCAAGCATGCCATTGGTCTAACACATCTGTTGTCTATAACACACCAGCCACATTCATACTTTTCAGCATTCAGCGTAAGACATCGGCCACAGTTCGATGCAAGAGCAGCACTTATAAAATTGGAAAAACCACACATTACGACACCTATCACTAAAAAAAAATTCCGATTAACCTCCACGGCCACTCCACCAATGTTATCCAGAGTGTGTTTTCTGGAAGAATCGCTCGAGACCACACAACGTTGAACTCGACCGGAACTGTTCCTCCCGATAAACAAGCCCGTAGTGATCGAACTGCATCTCATCACATCTGGCACAAACAGAATTGGATGCAAATCAAAACAACTGCAATTTTCAGTAAATCGTTTTGCAGCCAATTTGAAATAAATGTTTCGTCTTGTGTTCATACTTCCAATTTCTATCTACAAACGCTAGGGGTGAGAGGGAGGGGGTAGAGTACAGGGGTGAGGGTCGCGCTGAAGTCCTACCCGGGGGGGGGGGGGTTGTATTCGGCTAATTTGGGTGGGGTTTAGAGACATAATTGGGGTTTGGAGCTTATTTAGGGTTAGTTACAGTATGCCGCGGCAGACTTGCGGAGCACAAAATGGGGGGCTCCGGCGCACAAAATCGGGGGGCTCCGGCGCACGAGTGGCAGACCCCCCGCTGGGGAAACCCCGCGGCCCTGCCATTTCTGCGCCGGAGAGGTCCGATCGACTGTCTGAGTATGCATCATCCGCAGCGGCTTTGCCGGCAGCGCCGGTGGCTGGCTGCGGCAGCAGTCGGCTGCCCGGGCACCAATTGCTACGCACCCGCTGCTGCGGTGTGTACCGCCACGACTTCCTGCTCCGGTGATGACGATAGAGTGAAAGTGAACAGCCCCGCCCACCTACTGACCCTACTACGTTAGGCTTGATACATACCTGGCGTCGAGATACGTTGCGGTAGCAGCAACGTATTTGATGCGTATCGATTGCAGCGGAGTGACGCTGCTGCCTCACGCTGCAGCAGCTAACGCAAAAGGTCATGTCCATACCTAGCGACTCATTTTGGAGCAGTGTTGCTCGTGCTGCTCAGCGCTGGTCAGCGCTGCACTAGATCTTGCAGCTGCGTTACGCTCACTTTTTCTGAGCTTATCTCAGCTGCTTCGAGGCAAACAGCTGCTTTTGTTTGAATCTACCTCTTTTTACCGGTTTTCAAGCTGCAATTAGCGCTTCAAAAGCAAAGTCCGTCTTTCCTGCATGAGCAAGTCATGAATGCAACTTAAAATCATCAAATTAGGATTTTAGAGGCGGATATGGGAAAACATTGAGATGAACTGGAGAGACTTACTCCATGAAGATGAAGAGATCACTACGTAATATACAGGGTATCCCAAAAAAATGTGCCTACTGTTTGATTGTAAATACCATTAATATCAATCAATACCATACCAATATATTATTAATAATAATATATAATAATAATAATAAATAATAAATATTTAATAATTGTAAATATAATAATATTATAAATGGTAACTCTCTTGTAATGAAGTGTTTCGAGAAGCTTTAGGTACCGTTATGTAGGGCAAGGTTAAACTTAGTTTTACACTGTAGAACGAATCATCGATCATTCTTCATTACTGTAGGATTACGGTAAGAATTTCCAGCATATGGACCACCGTGAAATATACCACTTAACAAAATTTTTTCCAAAAAACCTGAAAAATTGTGTATCAGGGGTTTCGCGCATGCTGATTCCACCTGACAACTTTTTACGAGTGTTTTCAGCGTTTTTGACGGTATAATTACATTTCTGACAAATGCTGGGAACTGAGTTATTACGATTTACCGGGGATAACTTAGGAAAGAAGCATCACAATAGAATGGGAATTTCAAATTCGAAATCAGCGGCCCCCACTGTAGTATAAGAGTTTTTGGCTTGTTTGGTTTTTTACCGAGGCAGAATATAGCCTCCAAAGGCCTAAAATCCTTGTCGAACTTCTTACGTAATCCTACAGTAATGAAAGGTGATAGATGATTCGCTTCATACTGTAAATCTAAGTTTAACCTCGCTCTACATAACGATACCTAAAGCTTCTCGAAACACTTCATTACAAGTGAGTTATTTACAGTCAAACAGTAGGCACATTTTTTGGGACACCCTGTATTCTGGATTCGTTGTTTACCGCTTGGCCACCCCTGATCCGTGGAACACGGCAAACGAGGAGGCAGCAGGCGGAGAAATTATGATGAAATATACTGATCTTTGACTTTGGATTGTTGCCAATGCATGCGTTTTGGAACACTGCCAAATTTCATAACGAGTGACCGAGCAATGTTTCGTAAAAGGGTCATACCATTTCGAAATTCAGTTCTGGGTGATGAGAGTTGCAGTGGCTTTGATCGGGTCTCCAGCTCCGAGTGTGTTACTTCTACAAACTGTTTTTTTTCATGCTTGCTATCCCAGAATGTGTTGGTCAAATATATTGTGGTCCTTTTTGCTTTTGAAATGATGCCAAATTACGTAACAACATAATTCAGCTAAACATGTATCTTATATATAAAGCTGAATGTCTGTTTGTCTGTCTGTCTGTATGTCTGTCTGTCTGTCTGTCTGTATGTATGTCTGTACGTATGTTCCGAATAGAAAATTCCATTTCTGAACCGATCGGGACCAAACTTGGCGCACATACACTTCGGGCCCCGGCGGGTGTCATAGGCTACTTTTCGTCATCGATCGATATTGATTTTATCGATTTTTTGCAAAATTTGAGCTACAGGGCTGGGAGTTAGCACAGGGGGGTAATCGAGCATGCTGATCACCCCCGTGGAGGTGATCAGCATGCTAAATTACACCCCCCTGCCAGATTCCAGCCCCCTAGCTCAAATTTTGCAAAAAATCGTTAAAATCGACATCGATCGATAACGAAAAGTGGACTGTGACACCCGCCGGGGCCCGAAGTGTATGTGTGCCAAGTTTGGTCCCGATCGGTTAAGAAATGGAATTTCCTATTCGGAACATACGGCGGAGCCGGGTAAGCCAGCTAGTTTCTCATAAAACTCTTGGTAAAAAGTACTCCGAACACGTTCAACTGGGATATCTTTTTTCTGCTTACAGACAGGAGAGCGCGAAGTAACGTCTTGCTGGTGCTTTCGGAAACATTTGCCTTTGACCCGCATTGCTTTTTCTTGTGTAACTGGGTCCCGGTGGTGCTTCCGAATAGGTGTCGGTGTGTAAGCGGCACGTAGGGCAACTTGATCGGGCACGTTGGGATAATCCTTCTTCTGCTTTCAGACAGGAGAGCGTGGAGTAACGTCTTGCTGGTGCTTTGTGCCCCGACCCACTTGCTAGCGACCCGTAGGGTCGCTAGTATCTTATATATAAAGCTGAATGTCTGTTTGTCTGTCTGTCTGTCTGTATGTCTGTATGTCTGTCTGTACGTATGTTCCGAATAGAAAATTCCGTTTCTGAACCGATCCGGACCAAACTTGGCACACATACACTTCGGGCCCCGGCGGGTGTCATAGGCTACTTTTCGTCATCGATCGATATCGATTTTATCGATTTTTTGCAAAATTTGAGCTACGGGCTGGGAGTTGGTACAGGGGTGTAATCGAGCATGCTGATTACGAATAAAATAATGACAGGGGGTAGAGGTACGAACGCCTCAATTAGGCGCCGCTTCTGCGGGCTGCTGGTCCTTTCGTCTTACTGTTGTACATCGTGTTGGGACCAGTAGTCCGCGGAGGCGGTGCCAAATTGAGGCGTTCGTTCCTCCACCCAATGACAGGGCCGGGCGGAGCCGGGTAAGCCATCTAGTGAAGTAATAAAAGTCAACTACAGATTGAGAATAATTTTAGAAACTGACGGTGTGGTCAGATAAAATTTCGCCTCCAATGGACTCCGATCATGTCATTGTCTGAGGGATATTCTCATATTGTTGGGGCAGCCATTGATAAGGCTCGAGTGGAATCAGTACATTTATGCTCCACTTATGTTTGCTCTATTGCGCTACTATCTATTATCAATTTGATAATGAAATGAAACATGAAGAACTCCCCATAAAAGTAGAATACAACTCCAGATCCAGCTCAAAACATGCTAATTCTCTCATTTTCGACATTATAAAACATGGCGAAGCGCAGTTACTGTGGATGGTTTTTGCACTCAACTAGCACTCAAGAAGCAGCCGACTGCAGCGCTGAATCCTTAGAGCTTCCTTTCGTCGTTTTCGCGCTCTTCAGTGTGGGCCCAAATAAGCCAAAAAATCTCAAAATCGACTTCTTGCATGGACACTGCCTTTAATTCTGTTACAACTATGGCATGCGTGTGCCGCTGGCTCGAAACTATAGAAAGTGCTATCTGCTATCATCTCTTCTAAACAAAACATTAATCCTTCTTCTATCAAAATTATCGAAATGTAAAGTTTGTCTCTGCCCAGTAAGCATACTTTTTCAATTAAAATTTGAAGAATGTTGGATGTTGTCGCATATATCACTTAACACATCAACAATACATAAAAACACTTTATTAGCGTGTTTGTCACCACAAGCAGAAATGAAAAATGTGTCTGTATTATATGTAGTCTCAAACATTTCTGCAGATAATATTCAAGACAGCTTCCGTAATGGAAGCATCGATCATCTGGAATTAACAGAGAATTAGTACTTATTTTATTGTTACATGGATGCATAACAAATTAGTGCGTTTTTTTCTCTAATAATTTTCAATAGAAATATTCGTTTAAGTCTCATAGAAAATATGCAATATGATCTTCCAAGACATTATAGCTCTATAGGAAAGTTTGAATTTTGACCATTTATTAGGTTGTCCCGAAAGTTTTATCCGTTTTTTCAACCTATCATAAAAATACGTGGAACAAAGATAGGGAGTACTGCCCGACGCATCTTTTCCTCCTCTTTTTAACTGTCAAGTCCACATGCCGATTACTCTTTTGCTCACTGAGATAAATGCCGAAATTTCGAACCCATGGTTTTTACTGTGTCCAAGTTTTACAATTTTTCACAATCTTCATTTTCAACTTTTGGAAGACCTTTGATAGCTCTCAGATAGAGTAAGCAAAGGGCAATGCTATGCAATTATTTGGCATATCTAGCTGGTATCTAGCTGGCTTTTCAATATTTTTAAAGATAATTTTTTCAGAAGTCTTCACTTTCGCGAGGTTCTAAAATACAGAAACGCCTCGAACACTAACAAATCATCGGATCTTGAAGCTTTCAAAACCGACTAGGATTATTCACTATTTTTACGAAGCAAATGAGCGTTTACCGCTTTGAAATATAAGATTTTGCATTTTACGTGTACACGCTGGGGTGGGGTCAAATTCAAGAATTATGAAAATTTTATCGCCAAAGACCCCGCAAATTGGAGAGTAAATACACTCATTGGAAAGAGGAGGAAAAGCTGCTTGAATAACACCTTAGTTGTGCGCCGTTTCACGATCTCTGGCTTTTGGCATCACCAAAAGTGCATCAGAAAAATAATTCTAAAAAATTTTCAGGGCTGGCCATAGATGCCGCAAAATTGCATTATATTGCTTTTTGTTTGCTCTATCTAATTGTGCCAAAGCTTTTCCGAAAGTCAAAAATAAAGATTGTGAAAAATTGCCAAACTTGGACATAGTAAAAACTATGGATTTGAAATTTCGACGTTTATCTCAGTAAACAAAAGATTAGTCGGCATGGAAGCATGACAGTTAGAAAGAGAAGGAAAGGATGCGTCGGATAGTGCTTAGAGCGTTTCCCTATCTTCGTTCCACGCGTTTTTATGATAGGTTGAAAAAACGGACAACACTTTTGGGACAACTTAATGTTATTTACAAGTAAAAAAAAGATGTCGCGTATTTATGAAAAGAAACGATGAAAAACAGTCAAAAAGGCGAAAACAAAGTTCGTAAACTGCTTAAATTTTCAGTAACGAAGCGGGAGGATTTCTGAATAAAATGAGCAATTGAGGAAGGCAACTTAATAAAGTAGTGCAGGAACTTCAAAAGGCGTATATGCGCTTTGCCATTATGCATGTTATGAGAAAAACTAGATGGAAGAATGCACGCAAAATTCAAATCAATGTATTATGCGGTCGAGTAACGTTTGACAAAGGCGTTCTGGGCATTTGCAAACTTCAAATTGTAAAAGCGTATTATGGCTGTTAATCTAGCCCCAGTGGTTGGTTGGATGAATTTCGTTCAAAGCAAAAATTACTTCCAAATCTTGTACGAGATGTTCACAGAGTTCTTTCTTATTTCATAAATACCAGACTAGAAATTGAACGGAAAGAGTTTTTATGGTACGCGTGATGCGCGATGGTGCCAGCTATCGAAAAAGCTAATCAGATTGAAAATGAATTTGCGTCAAATAATAGTCTAAGAAAGGACAGTGAATGGCAAAGCCAGAGAGCTTGCGAAAGCTCGGTTCAGTAACCACGCTGCACATTTCGTGTCACATTCAGCGAAATCTGTCTAAAACTTGTGCTGATACTGAGATTTTTTCACGCATAAAATAACATGTGTTCAGAAGCTATATTGACAAACCAAGGCCCGTATGCACGTACATCCAGCTGAAAATCTCCCAGAGTTCCTTGTGGCATAGCAGTGTCCTGTCATTATGCTCAAATATCGCGGTAACCTTTTGAGATAAATAAACAAACAGTGACAGATGTATAGGGCAACAATATATGTCGCGTTCATTCTCAGCTCCCTCCCTTCCACAGTGGAGTGTATGGTCGTCGCTTATCACTTGATATCCTACTGCACAGCATGCCCGCTATCTGACAAACTTATAAGGTCAAAACGTGCTTATTCCCGTAATTTCAGTTTTATTTGTTTCCTTCGATTTGATTGGATACGTGTTGATAATTAAAGGAAGACATCACTTGGTCTGACTGGGGGGTTACCAGTATGCACCAATTACATTTCGCGCGATTTTGGCCATAGCGCGTTTTGCTACGATGGGTCATGATTCTTTGTAACCTCATTTTCGGTAAGCAAGACTCGAGATAGTATGCAACGTTTACAAAAGCTGTGCGCCTGTGCAGTGAGATGTGCTCGCGTTGAGTTAAAAGACATTCAGGTCGCCGACAATAGCGGTTTGGTGGAATCCGCAAGGTATTAACGAGGCCTAGGATGCCATCGAATGTCGCAAGTATGCAGACACACATATAGTTACACACGTACATTCCAGTGGCGCACCGAGGGGGGAGGGGGGGCGCCTCCCGAGAACGGGTCGCGAAATTTTTGAAAGTTACTTACATGGGTTATAAAAATGTGCAAATGACTTGTCTGCACTTGTAAATAATTAAAATGATTTTTAGAATTTTTTAAAAATTCATTTCAGCCTTGTAAAAAAACCGAAATTTTTTCGGAGTGCGTGGCGTCAGCCACGCACCTTCATCGGGAATGTCGCCCCCCCCCCCGAGCCGAAATCCTGGGTACGCCACTGGTACATGCATACGGGCACCAAAAAAATTGTAACTCCCATAAGGAAGCTGTCGAAGCTATCCATTCTCCTGCTTTAAAAACTTATAGTCTATATGGGTTTCATTGTTGAAAGTTTTTTGTAACTTGCAGACGACTTTCCAAAGGTTTACAGGCTTTGAGATGAAATCCAATAACTTACTAACAGGGCTTGTCAACTGTAGTGTCGGGTGCGCCAACCTCCACTTGCGCGCGGAACTCTGCACCTCTTTCGCGGACATGCTCTCTGATCGCTTTCCCACGCGAGCATGGGAAAGACGGAGCCTCAATGGATTTGATGTGATTAGGAAGCATGTTCGCGGGAGAGGTGCAGAGTCCGGCGAGGGAGTGGAGATGCTTGTGCACCCGACACTGCAGTTGATAAGCCCTGTAGATAAGCAGCTGGAGCAACGTTACTAGTGTCATCGCAACCGCTTCGTCCTCTGCTTCTAGAATTATAGGTGCTATGGAGACGAGCTGTCTTGAGACAATCACAATGACAAGCAATGTCGCTTTGTGTCTTTCTCGTACAACACTTGATTTTTAATTGTATGGAGTGGATAGAGGGCAGGGCTCGGCACAGTTGGCTTACAAGCAAGCTGGATATCGTTTTTGGGACAAAAAGCAAAGGGGGTCTCGTTTTGTGGCCAATAAGACACGAAATTTGCGACGTTTTTTAGTCGACGTTTTACTTTTTGGGGATTTTTTTAGGGATTATGGTCTAGGGTCAAAGGGGGGTTCGTAAAAATTCGCAGAAGTCAAGGGGAACTTCGGTTTTTTTTGCATTTTCAACTAGCTACCTCGTGCCGAGCCCTGATAGAGAATATGCCGACTGAAAGAGTAAGAAGATTTCTAAATAAAACTAAACCTATAAATAATCATGTAATAAACTTGAAGTTTGAGTTTGTCAACGTAATGTAAACATATAGTTTTCATCTATTTTTGGCGCACGGGAAGTGGGATTCCCTAGCTGCATGGCGCCGCAGACAGAGCACTTTTGGGAAAAAAACCATCGTGAAGTGAAGAATCGGTAGTCTAAGGTCTCACAAGGAATGCATGTTTAGTAGGATTGGCCTTTTTAGATGGGATGTACAACATAGGGTAGGCCATAAAACGCTGATTCCAAATCTGCCTTCCTTATCTGCAGAACGTTTATGGACGAAGAGTTATGAGCGTATTGAAGCAAAAAAATGAATGTGCAAGTAGGACAAAAGTAGCCGTAAAACTTTTTCTAGCTCTTCAATGGAGCAGTGATAATCATCAGAGCACATTATTTCAAAAAATATAAAAAAATAAAAAATATACCACACTTGGTGCATCATTTGAGAGCCAATAAGATTTTAGCAACTCATTTTATCCAAAATGCACATTCAGTTTTTGTCCCCAAATAATGCTCACAACTCCTCGTCTATGTACGTTCTGCAGATAGGGAAAGCAGGTTTGGAGTCAGCGTTTTATGCCCTTCAATATGGTGTAAATCTCATACAAAGAGGTCACTTTGAGTAAACAAGCTTCCCTTGTCAGACATATGAGCAGAATATCAATCAGTGATGGGAATTTAATTTTGATAAAAATATAGAGAATACAAAATATTTTAACGTTTATTGGCGGAAATCTCAGATAATGCTTGGTCATCATAGTTAACTCGTCCCCATCATTTGTAGGTCTGCTAACTACAGCAGCGTTTGAGGAAAGTTGTCATACTCGCTCCCTGATAAGCACAATGAACTAGCCGACTCTGAGCTTTGCAAGCAGTTTCGACAGCTTGTCACGAAGTTTTCTGCTACACGAGGCGTTCCTACAAATGCCTTTGATTATGCACTAGGCGAGCTTCCATTCAGCAAAATTTCAATGGAAACATGATCAGCTGAAGCAGCTTTCTGAGAGATGCGCACCGTTCAGTTGAGCGCTAATTCTGAAACTGTCTCCTGTAATTAACGCCTTTATATCCAAAGTTGTGGAAGTTTTTTGGCGTGAGCCAAAGCGACTAGATCATTCTGCATATCATTTTACGCTCGAACAAACTAGCGATGGGTATCAAGCACAGATACTTCTTGTTGACTTTTCCTTAAAACCCAAAAAATATATTTTTGTTTCGAACTGTAATATCACATTCTAAATCTAGAGTGATAGAGCTCTTCTGAGAATCAACTATGTTTCATTTTACAACACGCAACTTCTATCTCATCTCATTCTTTCTTGCACAATACTTACATCGTATCTGGCGACACGTATCAAATTACTGAAGCCCCTCGTAACTTGCTCTACTTTCTTGGAAGCGTGCTCATCCTCCAAATAATAGTTTCCGACCATAATGTATACAAGTTTGTATCCTTTATCCCATATCTGAAATGAGATTCGCTATGATAGAAGTGAACTGTTACTTTCTGTATCTTTGCTACAGCAAAGTGTTTTCCGGTATCATTTGCAAGTTTTTACATTGTTCCAAAAAAAGGGTAAAATACAGACTATTACAAATATTTAATACAAACTGAGGCGCTCTCTATAAAGTAAAACAGTGGCCCGTAGTAAACCCCCCATCAGGGCATCTTTCTCGACGCGGACCCGCGTTGATCTCATCACGCCTCAGTCTAACATCCGGCGAGCCATTGATCTGGATGCGGATCGCTTCTGAGGCATCACAATCAAGTGCCTTCTTGAAAAGGGAACCACTCGAGCTGGTTTGGTCGAGCAGGTACGGGAATGAAATTGAACGCGCGCGGCCATGGTTCGACACCGGCTAGCGCCACGTTTTTGCTGTATTGCAGGGCGTCTTTGATAGCGACCACTATCGGAAAATCGATGATGACCGCTATCAGGATTTCGCCTAGAAAAAACAGGGATGACACAAAAACGCATTTTTTGACGAAAATTTTATGGAAAATTGAAATAACTGCAACATAAATTCAACGAAATAAATCTACAAATTCTTGCCTTGAGCAGTTTGTCAAAGAAAAAAGTCAGTAAAATCTACAAAAAAAAGAGGTTTTTTTCTTTTCCTCGCCAAAATCAGCTGTTCATCGATCCTCTCCTTTTCGGGCGCGGTTGTGCAGTTTCGCGCCGATTTTTTCTGCATTTTTTGGCAAAGCTGTGTGTATCGTAAGTTACTCAGGAGCAACTTATGTTAGATGCAGTCAACTCTTGTCTGCGTCTCCCCTTTTACACGCTATTTGCATTCCTCTAACATCCGTTCACGTTCAGTTCAACTCAACGTGAACGGATGTGGAACAGTTGACTGCAGCAGGTGGACAGATGGCCAACTATCAGTTGACTTGACCATCTTATAGCATGGGAAGGTGGACGGTCATCAGTTCACCTAGTCTAAGCTTAACTGATGGGATAAGTTGAGTTCACCTCAACTGATCAAGCTTTACTACGGGCCAGTAGCTTAACGAAGGCTGCGATGTCAGCGAAATCTTTATGCTAAAGTTATGATAACTAAAGTCAATTTGTCTACTCCGCTTGCACAGCAACATCGAATGCTGTAAAAGTGCCCTCTATTTGACCATGTCATTTGCACTCTTATACATTGAGACAGGATCCGTGGATCACGCAATAGTATCCATATTTATCTATTTGCAGAACCAGGGATTTGAAGTACAACAACAACTGTACGTGATGGACTGTATTGTTCTCATTTGATTTCATCAGCGCATCGCTTTATTGGTATCGGAAAGCTGGAACATAATATGCAGCGATAAAATTTATTCGATGCGAATTGATCAACTCATATTTTGTGAAGAATTTTTGAAACAGTTGTTTTTCTATAATAATTACCACTTCGATATAATTTCTGCACGCATTTTCATGCTTTCTCCCTAAGTATTCATGCAGGGAAAGTGTCTGGTGGTGTTAAAGGCTCCCAAGTACCGACCGAGGCTGTTTCTGTGAACTGTCAAATCGGATGCTACCCTCGTAGCATCCGATTTGACAGTTATGATTTTGATTAGACTTGACTTATGATTAGAATATAAGCATACAGCGAAGTAATAACACATTATTTCCAATAACGAAAACAATAGCACGGCTTTAGGGCCAATAATAGATAAACACCAACTGTGGGACGGTAGCAGGGTAGCATCCGATTTGACAGTTCACAGAAACGCCCTCGGTCAATATCGGTCGGCACTTGGGTTCTACTCGATCAATATTTGAGAGTAGTCCAGTCTTCTCCTGTTCTTCCTCTTCTCCTGCCAACCAGTTTGAACTCCCCGTGAGCCTCTCTGCTCGTGGCTTCCCCTTATCCACCTTTTTTATGCCACGCTAAAAGCAAATAAACCTTCTTATTTACCGTTATTAAAGGACCGTAAATCAATCCCGTGCAATCCAAATTCCCTTCCTCCTCGGCAGCTGCTGCTATTTGCTGGATTTTACAACAGCCACCTGTAACCTACAGCCTTTGCACTCTCCTAAAGCTTCAAGCTTTTTTTGGTTTCTCCCAGCCTTAGTTCTTACCGGCTGCTCTACTCTACCTCCTTTGAACACGCGAAATGTCACTTTGTCACTGTAGCCTACTCGGATCTGCTTCTATCTTTAGGCCTCCGAGGACTTCATGAGCTTGCTCGACGCATCATATATATCCACCCTACCCAGCACTCTTAATAGTCGACATCATATCTTCTGCCTCTCGCGTCCACAAGTATGTCATGAATATTGGCATAGCTTTCTAACTCGTGATTGCCTACTTTGGTTGAAACCAAGACTGTTAGAGACTTGATTAGTCAACGTTATGGCGCTTTCAGCTTCGCCGGAGCCTTAGGATTGAAATTTTGTTGTTGCGTTGTTTCTCAATAGGTATGTTCAGCACAAGGGTATATTCAATAAGGGAGTGTGAACCAGCAGCGAGAATCAGAGGGGAAATATTGGTGCTTACCTGGGAGACTTCAAGTCTAGCTGTAACTCCCGGAGAAATTTAGATGCTATTTTGTTACCATACATTAAAACATAAGAAAATTCACAATTTACAAAATAGAGCCGGATTTTGCCAAAGTATGGTAGGACTTCTCCGAAGTACACGTAAATCGTATGGGCCCATGAAAAACATTACGAAAAGATCTGAAAATTACTGATAGTCATCGTTGGTAAAAATATTTGTTTTGGTCGAGTATGTGGGACTTTCGGAAGGTTTCGAAGAAGCAGAATCTTGAAAACAACCGCTTATTCAGCGTTTTTATCGAATATACATCCCTTTAAAGTGTTTTTTTTTGAGCTCTTGAAAATGTTTTTTTTTGAGATTATCTGCTGATTTCTATCCCTATTATTTTGATTTCCAATTTTTTGTAAATTTTTTGCAAAAGACGTGTACTAATTATCTGGTTTTTGATTCCCTTTCAAGCTTACGGTATTCAGCCTGACTACCCCCTCTTACGACCCCCCCCCCTCTCCCCTCCTTAAAGGCAGTGTCCGGGCAAAAACTCGATTTTGAGATTTTGTGCTTACCCGGGCCTATTCGCTACGCTGAATCCGAAAATCCACACTGGAAAGCGCGCAAACGGCGAAAAAAGGCTTTAACGCAGGAGGGAAATCAAAAGTGGGCGGGGTCTTCCCCAGGGTGAATTCACGGTTCCAGCTCCCGGAGCGATCTTTTCGCTTCCGACTTCAGATCATGCATTCGCACTTGGTCCGTTGAGATGTTAGGGCGGTTAGTGGGATTGAAAAGATCGCTCCGAAAGCTGGGACCGTGAATTCAACCTGGAGAAGACCCTGCCCACTTTTGATCTCACTCCTGCGTTAGAACTCTTTTTCGCCGTTTTCGCGCTTTCCAATGTGGATATCCGGATTCAGCATAGGGAATAGGCCCGGGTAAGCGCAAAATTTCAAAATCGACTTTTTGCCCGGACACTGCCTTTAAGTGCGCTCTCTACGACTTCCCGTTGCTGAAATTGCATCACACGCTTGACCCTGGTTGAGACTGAGATCACGGCAAACGGCAGAATAAAGCATCTATAATTGAGCATTTTTTGTATACGTACTTTATAGCCCATAACCAAGAGCGTTAACACGCTTTATTCATACAGGCTAACGTTTCGGTGCCTTCGCCTTCGTCGAAACCTCGACAATCTTCGAATCAAGCGTGATTCTACTACTGTGCAGAGGCTGTGTTTGGTCGGTTGTTCGATCTTGATTCCAAGATTGCCAAGGCTCCGATGAAGGTGAAGGCACCGAAATATTAGCCTCTCTGAATAAAGAGTGTTAACGATCTTGGTTATAGGTACAAATACGCATACAATAACTACCTCATGCCAAGATCCAACGATAATAGAGCTTGGACACTGACGCGCATTTTGTTTGGGAAAATAGAGAGTAGGAAGCCTGGTCTGGACAATGATGGATGTATATTCAGTGACAATATCGAACCAAATCCCATCTCATTGAAAACGATTTGGAAAATAAGAGCGCAGTTGAATCTCTTACTTTGAAGCTTTCAATATACATTTGGCTTGAAGGGGACACCGTATATTATATACACAAAATTAGCTGATGTGTTAGATAAAATTTATACCCTCGATACATAGAGCCATGTACTCTGGTAACCTTCACTCTGAAGGTCATGAGAGAACACAGTCTCCACCTGGAAGAAAAACAGATTATCCGGGGCGAAGTCCCGGTTGTTATATTCCTGACTACATCGGAACGAAGACAAATGAAGCAAATGTAGAGAAGAATATCCTAGAATTATCTCAGCGAGACCGAAAATTTGTTTTTTATAGCCTTTTTTACGCTAAAAAGAAGGTTTTCGTTGAAGTTGTCTATCTCGTTAATGAGTGATTTTCAATGCTTGGGACGTCGTCAGTGCTCCTCGTCGTGTCGTGACAATCAGAACGATATATAATGTTGCAGGGTTTCGTTGAGACGCCGTCAAGATCTGCGACCAGAGCCAAATGCCCCGTCGGCTCTTGTCTGTCTCCGCTGCTCGTCTGCGTCTCCTCACGCTGCGCGCTATCTCGCTACCCAAAATGCGGGGCGCGGGGCATTTGGCTCTGGTACCATTTTCTTCGTTGTTTTCAATTTAATCCTAGCAAATTGTATATCATATTGAAGTATCATATTATCTCTACTTTCAGTTGAAAACGTCCCAAAGCCATATATTTTGATTTGAACGGGAAATCCGGCAAAAACTTTGCTTTCGAAAATCTCTTGTTTTCCCCCTAATTCAACTCTTTCCACGCGGTTTTTTCGTGCTTTCTATAAATCTTGCTTTCATATGCTGACAACGACGTGCTCATCTCTTCGGTTATGGCGGAATTTTTTTGTGAAAAATCGTAAAAAGTGTTTTTTTATTTATTCTTCTTGTTGTTTCAGCGCTTTCGCAGCAATTTTTTTCCAGCTTGGGCTATTGTTGCTCA